CCCGGCCCCGCACCACGCCGCTGTCTGTTGGTAAATAGCGGAGGTTGCAGCTCCGTGCTCGCAGAGCGCGTCCCAAACGCAGCCCCGATGCTGGGAGAGCCGTGCAGACCCACAGGGGATCATCGAGTTGGGCCCTGGGGACACGTCGCACGGCCCCCAGCCCGGGTCGGAGGGCAGCACCCAGCTCCTCTCCTCCCAGTTTACACCGCACCACCCCCGGGGGAGGTGAGAGCAGAGCGGGGCGGCCGGGCTGCACCACCTGCATCGGGTCCTTCGCAGGAGGAAATTTTCACAGCTGTTTTCCTGCTCAGAGAGCTGCCAAGCGGGGCTTATTTATTTTTTTTTTTCGGAGGGGATAAAAACGCAAAGCGCTCTCTGCCCCGCCGAGGACGGACACCTGAGCGGCTTTTACGAGCGGCGGATTAGCGCGGAGAGGCGCCACGCCGCCGTGCCTGCCTTCCAGACCCGCGCCTGGCACGGCCCCGAGCGCGGAACCGAGGGACACTCACGGCCATGGGCAGCGGCGTGGCCACGCGCTCCGAGCTGCCGCCCAGCAGGAAGGCTCTGCTCTCCTTGTAGGGCACGTCCCGCGTCACCTTCTCCAGCAGCTGCTCCAGGATCTGCGCCGTCAGGCTGGGCTCCGCGGCCAGGGCTCGCCACATGGCACACGTGTGGCTGCGGGGAGCAGAGGGGAGAGAGGAGCTGGGCAAGGACCCTTCTGATCCAACCACTCCACGGTCCTCTGACCTGCAAGGACCTTTCCAACCCAACCATCCCATGGCTCTATGATCTATAAGGATCTTTCCAATCCAAACATTCCATGGCCTTATGATCTTCAAAGGCCCTTCCTACCCAACCATTCCATGGCTCTATGATCTATAAGGACTCTTCCAACCCAACCATTCCATGGTTCTATGATCTGTAAGGACTCTTCCAAACCAACCATTCCATGGCCTTATAATCTTTAAGGAGGCTTCCAACTCAACCATTCCATGGCCTTATGATCTTTAAGGACCCTTACAGCCCAAGCATTCCATGGTTCTATGATCTGTAAGGACCCTTTCAACCCAACCATTCCATGGCCTTATGATCTGTAAGGACCCTTCCCACCCAATCTGTTCCATGGCTCTACAATCTATAAGGACCCTTCCAACCCAACCATTCCATGGTTCTGTGATCTCGAAAGACCCTTCCTCAACTCAATTCATTTCAAGATTCTATGGTCTATTAAAACTCTACCAATCCAACCATTCTGTTCTCTGCAATCTGTAAGGACTCTTTCAAGCCAAACATTCTGTTCTCTCTTAACTTTAATGACCCTCCCAATCCAACCCATCCTATGGGTCTATGATCTTTAAAGACCCTTACAACCCAACTGAAGTGAACCCAACCTATTCCATGGTGTAATGGTCTATTAAGACCTTTCCAACCCCAATTTCTATGGCTCTATAATCTTCAAGGACTCTTCCAATCCATACCCACCATCCCATGGTTATATGATCTTAATGGGCCCTTCTAACCCAACCATTCCACAGCTCTATGAGTTTGAAGTATCCTTCCAACCCAACCATCCCATGACTCTATGATCTTTGAGGAGTCTTCCAACCCAACCCAACCCAACCATCCCATGCCTCTATGATATTTGAGGACCCTTCTATAACCCAACCATCCCATGACTCTATGATCTTGAAGGACTCTTCCAACCCAACCCATTCCATGGTTCTACGCTCAGGGCTCAGCTGGGGCCAGCTATGACACTGTGGAGCTCTGGCTTTGCTGAGCTGCCCCACTCCACAAGCGTGACTACCCCAACCACACTCAGCTTCCCTCATTCACTCCACTTACACCCCTATGCCCCACAAACCCTCAGCAGCGAGTGGACACACCGATCCTTGAGCTCCCAACAGAAACTCCAGCAGGGGGAAGGAGCCAAAAAGCTTCCAGCTGCACGCGAAGCAAAAGCTGCTCTGGATGCAGGTACCTGTCGAAGGGCAGCGCGCTGCCCAGCAGGCTGGACACCACCACGCCGGTGTGCTGGGCTGCCAGGATGTACACCGTCTGCTGGGCTGCCTTGTGCACGTGCTCCTCATCTACCTCCTGCAGCTTGCCGTGGATGATGCTCATGATGTCGGGCACCTGTGGGGTAACGGGGTGGCACTGAGATGGGGGAAAGGACACGACGAGAGCTTGGGGGCAGTTTGCTGTGGTGTCCACCCATGCCAGTGACACTGCAGAATGTCTCATGGTGCGGAGCAGCCGGCGCTCTGCCAGCATCTGGAGTTCAGCAGTGCCGTGGGGTTGGAACAGGATGATTGTTGAGGTCCTCTGCAGCCCAACCATCCCATGGCTCCATGATCTTTAAGGACACCTCCAACCCCAAAATCCCATGGCTCTGTGACCTTTTAGGACCTTTCCAACCCACCCCTCCTACTGTCCTATGATCTTCAAGAACCCTTCCCACCTACCCCATGCCTCTATGACCCTTCTAACTCAACCGTTCTATAGTTCTGTGATCTTCAAGGACCCTTCCAACCCAGCCCATGGCTCTATGACCTTTTAGGACCCTTCCAACCCAACCACCCTCCAGTTCTACAACCCCAGGAACTGGAGCAGAAGCGGGGATGACTCCCCCCGGCCCTACCGGCTGCATGACGCACGGCAAGGCACGGAGGAAGCTCACGCACAGCCCAGACCTGGCAGCAAATCCCCGAGCTTAGCACGGAGCTGCCGGGATTTAGCGTCAGGTCGGGTTTCAGGATCTGGGCCGGACGAGGTCCGGACGAAAAGGGAGCGATGGGGAGGGGTCAAGGGGGGGAGTGGGATGTTAGCAGGAGCTGCTGTGCACAGCCTGAGCGGTGCAGGGAGAGCCGGTGTTTCCAATTAGTGCAGGAGAAAAGGGGGAGCTTAGTCCTAAGGCGGTGGATTAGACCAAAAAAAAAAAAAGTCCTCTTTGGAGTGGGGCGCGGAACGGGATGGGGATGGGGGTAGGATGGGGATGGAGATGGGATGGGAGGGGATGGAGATGGGATGGGATTGGGAGGGAATGGAAATGGGGTGGGGAAGGGGATGGGATGGAGATGGAGATGGTGATGGGATGGGATGGGATTGAGATGGGGTGGGGAAGGGGATGGGATGGGGATGGTGTGGGGATGGGGATAGGATGGGGTGGGGATTGGGATGGGGAGGGGACAGGGATGGGGTGAGGATGGGGATGGGGATGGGATAGGAAGGGGATGGGGTGGGGATTGGGATGGGGAGGGGATTGGGATTGGGATGGGGTGGGGATAGGGATGCAGATCAAAACTGGGTGGTGGTGGGAGAAGTGAAAGCTCCAAGGAGTGTGGGGCAGGCAATGGTACAGCTGGAGGTTCAGTGGGAATGGTTGCATCCTTCCAGTGCCCAAAGGGAGTTGATGAACTGGAAAGTGACTGAGCAAGGGCAGAGAGCGATGCAACAGAGGGGAATAGTTTCAACTCAAAAAAGGGGAGATTTGGGGTCAGATGTGGGGAAATCCTTCACCCAGAGGCGGTGCAGCCCCAGCACTGCTGCCCGGAGCTGTGGGTGCCCCATCCCTGAGGTGCCCGAGGCTGTGGGGGGGCTCTGGGCAGCCTGAGCTGGGGGGCAGCCAGCCCATGGCAGGGGTGGGGCTGGGGGGTCCTTCCATCCCAACCATTGTATGGTTCTATGACCTTTAAGGACCCTTCCAACCCCATTGTATGGTTCTATGACCTTTAAGGACCCTTCCAACCCAATCATTCAACAACTCTATGATCTTCAAGGAGTCTTCCAACCCAACCAATCCATGCTTCCATTAATTTTCAGGACCCTCCCCACACAACCATTCCATGGCTCTATCGTCTTTAAGGACTCTTCCAATACAACCACCCTGCAACTATGATTTTTAAGGACGTTTCCAACCCGAGCATTCCATGCTTCCATGACCTTTCAGGACCCTTCCAACCCAACCCATTCAATGGCTCCATGACCTTTTAGGTGCTTTCTGAACCAAACTGCTTGATGAATACTGACCACTCTGCCAAAGCCTATCACTCCACAGCTCAGCTGCCAGGACCTGGCGCTCACTGGGAGATACGCACGGCGGGAGGCAGAGGGGTTGGGGCTGCCCTGGAGGAGCTCACCTTGTCCTGCAGGACCGCCCCCCGCTCCTTGAGCAGCGCGTTGATCATGACGGTGGCCGCACGGGAGCAGTTCTTGTCGGGGTCTGCCAGCCCCTCAAACATGGAGAGCAGGAGGCTCATCAGCTGGTCTGGGGGGACACGCTTCCCAATCACCTGGGAGGAGAGCGAGTGGCTTAATGAGGGGCTGAGTGATTCATCCCAAATAAACCAGAGGCTACCGTGGGTGCCTCTGTGGCTGTGAGTCCTCCCTGCTGCAGGGCTCTGCAGGCAGCCATCCCTGATCTCAGCCCCACAGCTCTCTGATGGCACAGTGCACAGCCCACCTGCCTGCACACGGACTGCTGTAGTGTGGGGCTGGGTGGCCTTAAGGTCCTTTCTAACCCAACCATCTCAAGGCTCTGTGGTCTTTCAGGACCTTAACAAGCCAACTCAAGCCATTCCCTGGCTCTGTGATCTTTAATGACTCCTCCAACCCAACTACTCTGTGGCTCTGTGATCTTTAAGGACCTTCTCATCTCAGCCCAACCCATTCCATGGCTCTGTGATCTTTAAGGACTCTTCCAACCCAACCATTCCATGGCTGTATGACCTTTAAGGACCCTTCCTACCCAACCCATTCTATCATTTCCTAGCTCTATTATCTCCAAGAACTCTCCCAACCCATTCTATGCTTGTATGACCTATAAGGATCCTCCCAACCCAACCCATTCCATGGCTCTACGACCTTCAGGGACCCTTCCAACCCAACCCAGCCCAACCATCCCATGGCTCCAGGATCTTTCTTTCTACAAACTTCTAGGGGCAGCATCGCTATGGGGCGGAATGCTTGGAGCAGCCCCGCTCTGCCTGCCTTACCTTGGCAATGTTGGTGCAGGTGCGGAACAGGACAGTAAAGTCAGGCTCCTCCAGACCCCTCTTCAGTGCCTTCAGTCCCTCCACCATCTCATCCCGGTGGTCCCGAGCAAACCCTGCAGGCAGAGCAGTGCTTGGGTCAGAACACCCAAACACTGCAGTGACGTGGGTCCAAACATCACAGAGATGTGGGTCAGAATGGAGCTGCCCCAAAGGACAACAACACTGCAGAGATTTGGGTCCAAACATCACAGAGATGTGGGTTGGAGTGCCACTGTCCCAAACATGGCAGTGATGTGGGTCAGAATGGAGCTGCCCCAGAGGACAACAACGCTGCAGCGATGTGGATCAGAGTGGAGCAGATCCAAAGGACCACAAAACTGCAGCGATGTGGGTCAGAATGGAGCTGCCCCAAAGGACCACAACACTGCAGTGATGTGAGACCAAACATCATACAAATGTGGGTCGGAGTGCTACTGTTCCAAACACAGCAGCGATGTGGGTCAGAATGGAGCTGCCCCAAAGGACCACAGCACAGCAGCGATGTGGGTCAGAATGGAGCAGATCCAAAGGACCACAGCACAGCAGCGATGTGGGTCAGAATGGAGCAGATCCAAAGGACCACACCACAGCAGCGATGTGGGTCAGAATGGAGCTGCCCCAAAGGACCACAGCACAGCAGCGATGTGGGTCAGACCCGCAGTGCTGCTCCCGGGAACAGCAGCGAAGCAGAGCTGCGTTCCACATCGCCTCCGAGCGCTCATCCCCAGTGCTGCCCTGACCTCTCCTGGTGACATGGGGAAAGTCAGACCGAGGGAGCCCTGGAACTGCTCTGCGATATTCCAGCCCTTGGCATCTCAACCCCAGTACTGTGACAGCATCGCCCCACTGGCCCCACTCCTGGCCCCACTGCCAGGCACGCTGGCCACAAGAAGGCCATGGTGGCTGTCTCCGGTCATCCCCCAGGCTCTGTGCTGGTGGGCGTGGAGGATAGCAGAGGTCTCTTCCAATCTTAATGATGATATGGTTCTATTTGGGTCATGATGGGGAGTGGGCTGGGGTCGGAGTTAAGTATCTTGGAGTTAGGAATCTTGGAGATAGGGATCTTCTCCAACCCTAATTCAGGCTCATGGTGGGGATGGACTGGGGTTGGAATGGATGACCTTGGAGGTCTCTTCCAACCTTAATGACTCTATGGTTCTATTTGGTGTCATGGCGGGGCAGGTTGGGGTTGGACTGGATGACCTTGAATGTCTCTTCCAACCTTAATGACTCTGGTTCTATTT